CCACTTCTTCTGTATGGTTCCCAATGAAAATTCACCTATCTCAGTATTATGCAGTACAGAAGTCTCTGCCTTGGCTCAGAAATTGTGAGAAAAACATGTCAAATAACTCATTGAAATCAATAAATCGTATGTCTTTATCATTTTCTTAGTTTAGGGAGTGATGTAGTAACCCCATAAAAAAGGGAATAGAATCAGTTTAGCATAATCTGTTTTTAGTCAACACATGCCAACCCTTAGTGATTAATATTATTATATTTTAAAATTTCACAACGCATATCTACAATCCTCTGGTCTGCAATTTGCCATGGATTGTCTACAAGTCTTTGGTTCTATGATTTTGTTACCCACTCAAATGTCCTTTTTGATGAGAATGTTCATATCCTATCTTCTGACACATCGTCTTCCCCATGAATGATCAAAGACCACTCATCAGGATTCCAAAATGGCTGCACGCCTTTTTAGCAGCATAGGCCTTTAAACTTGTATTTATTCCAAGCAACTACGTATTGTCACTTGACATTCAATTCATTTATTAGACTTTGAGCATGTATGGGAATTTGTACTCAGCTGAGAATATGGTAGTGTACAAAGAATTTGAAGGTTAAGGGCGGGGTGGGGTGGGGAAGGACAAATATATAGAAAAAGAATTCCTAAATGTATCATGGGATCCCACAGGTGGAAGGGAAAATCTGGGCTGTGGTGATAAAATAGCACATTTTCAAGAAATGACATTAGATAGGTGAAGAGATTACAATCCCTAAAGAGGCTAGACAAGATAATCCAAATGTGGATTTTGGACAATATTCTTAGAGCAATGAGAGGTGATTGAAGCTTTTAGGGAGGGGAGTGGCGTAATCAGATTTGTGTTTTAAGAAGGTCATGGTAGCACCTTGAGATATGGCTTCTCAAACTGTAATGTATATGAAAATCAGCTGCAGATCTGATGAAAATAAAAATTCTGACTAAGTCCTAAGAGGAGCCCTAGATTCTGCATTTCTACAAAGTAAGTTTGGTGCTAGTGGCCTACAGATTATACTTTGAGTAGCAAGGTTTTAAAAGGAGGTTTGAGGGTGAGAAGACTCGAGGCTGTAGCCTAATCATAATCTAGGAGGAAAATTATGATGACCCAGTCTCTGGGATGGTTGGCTTCACTAGTGCAGGCTCTAAAAGGACCTCCTTTAAGAAAAATACTCAGTAAGTATTCAGACTTTTCCTGTCATCTGTCAAAATTTTACATGCTAAGTAGGAAAGGAGGATGGAAAAATTGACTCTAGTCTTAATTCATAACATCTGACTATGAACTTGAGTAGCTCTCTTTTAGTCCTCTGTGGCCTCAGCTAATATCTCTGTGAAATGGGAGGCTACGCTGTATCTTTAAGGACACTTTTAATTCTGTAATAGCATGCTTTTTTATAAATATCTGCATCAGGAAGGCAATCCTTCCCTGTAATGTGAACCAGCTTTGGTTAGTAGAAAGTAGGTGGAGGCTTATTATTAGATTATACCCACACACAGACAACACACACACACACACACACACACACACACACACACACATATCCTGGCCTTTACAATGCCATAGGTGCAAGAGAACTGTGATCTTTATTCCCAATGAATATGGTTTATGTTATATACAAGGGGGATTTAAAAAGTTTGTTGAAAAAAAATCCATTATTTTTTTAACTCCATGTTTCCATGAGTTTTTTGAAGTCCCCTCACATTTCCTGGTTCCTGAAGTTTAAAAAATAAAGAGGAAAAAGGCACTTTCTTATAAGACTGTTGTGTGCTTTTTAGTTATTCTGACTCACGGTGACCCTGAGGTCTCCTACTATAGGACAGGGTACAGCTGCCCATAGAGTTTTCTAGGCTGTAATCTTTACAGGAACAGATCATCAGAATTTTTTCTTCACTGGTGGGTTTGAACCTCTATCCTTACAGCAGTCAAGTGCTTAACCATTGTGCTACTAGGACTTTTTTCTCCCAAGATAAAGGGAATTTTTCCCTATTTAGAAGGAAAAAGGTCTTTTCACCCTCACTTTTTGGAATAAATTAAGTCCCAAAACCCCTGGAAAAAGGATCTGATTTGGGATAAAAGGGTTATAGGAACAACTTTAGGAAAGAATGGGATGGACTTACTGGTATGGTGTTGTAAGATCAGCACTGGACTGGAAACCATAAGTTCAGCAGTTCAAACACACTAGCTGCTCCTTGGAAACCCTATGCAGGGTCACTATGAGTAGGAACCGACTCGACGGCATTTCACAACAACAGCAATGTAGTCTTTGATGGTTGTTGTTGTGAAGTGCCGTTGAGTTGATTCCAACCCATAGCGACCCTGTATAGGGTTTCTGAGGAGCAGCTGGAGAGTTTGAACCGCCGACCTTGCAGTTCAAATGGCTTTGCAGTCTGGCGCATTAACCCACAGCACCACATCAGGACTCCAGAAGAACTGAGAGGGGAGTTCAAACTAACACTGTTTACTTTTCTTGACCGTGACAGGGATTTGCTAGGAGATCCTGAAATGATCACTTACCTAATCACAATCTTGGTGGTGCTGTAGGATAAGCACTTAACCACAAGGTCGGTTTGAACCACAAGGTTGGCAGTTCAAACTGACCAGTCACTCTTTGGAGCCCTACACAGGGTTGCTATAAGTCAGAACCAACTTGATGGCACCTAACAACAGCAACAAGCACAGTTTCTTGGTTTCCTCATCTAAAGAACAGAGAAGACCTACCTCCTTGGCATAGAATATAAAAGAGATGACAAGCACATCATAGAGAGAGATTTGCTTTTTTATTGCATGTCTTATATACTTGGAAAGGAGTCCCGGTGTGGCACTGTGGGTTAATGCGTTGGACTTCAAAGTCGCTTTGAACCACAAGGTCAACAGTTCAGGCTTACCAGTTATTCCTCAGAAACCCTATACAGGGTCTCTATGGGTCACAATCAACTGGACAGCATTTAACAAAACACTTCTTGGAAATATATGCCCTAAGAATATAAACAGATTTATATTGGGTACATGAAATGTGGCGCTGTGGGCCAATGTGTCAGACTGCAAAGTCGTTTGAACTGCAAGGTTGGTGTTTGAAGCTCACCAGCTGCTCCTTGGAAACCATATACAGGGTCGCTATGGGTTGGAATCAACTCCACAGCACTTAACAACAACAACAGGAAAGGCGCTTTGCATACTTTTTCTTATTTGATCATTACAACAACTCTACTAGCCATGTGTTTTACCTTTGCTTTACAGATGTAGAAACTGAGGACCGAGATGTTAACTTTTCCGATGTCAACAAGTCAATAAAGCACAGTTAGGATTCAGAGTCACATCATTCAGCTCTATAGGGATCCCACATGCATGGCTAATGTGCTACAAAGCTAATTCCTCTGCTATGGAAAGCATTGCTAATTTGCTAATAGCACTGGCTTTGAACTTTCTCTTGGTGGATGATATAAATGGAAAAACCAATTTGGCCTTCTAAAGTTTATATACTTACTCCTCATTTATCAGCATGCTTAGGTTCCAAAGACCAGGTCATGATGCAAGGATGGAGGATGACTACATTAGATAATGAAATGGAGGATGACTACATTACATTATTTAATTGCCGAATTACATAATTGCCGAATTACATAATTTCATAACAGCAATATTACGTAATTCCCAAATTACATCATTACCGAATGGTCAAACCACTGAGAATCGTAACCCAGACAAATTGACACATGACCTGAACCATCACAGCCGGTGTTACTTTCTCCTTGAACCTCACTATTTATTACTGTCAGATGTATATTGTTAATGTTCAAAACGGTTGGATAGTAGATATTTTACTACTGTTATAAATGTGAAACGTCAGCTAGTGAGAGAGTTCGTAAGTGTGGAGTAGGTGTGCTTTGCATCAGGAGCTTTGAGGATCTTGTCTTCAGTGATTCTGATTCAACATGTCTAAGGCTGAACTTCAAGTCTTTATTTTTAAGGATTTCCTAGATGATTCTGTTTTACATACTTACGCCATATCCTTTATGTTGGCTTATTGTTTAATTTATGGGTTCCTTGTTAGAAATAGAGGAAAGATCTAACAAAATAGCCTTAATACTGTAATGTAAGTGCTGTTGAGTCAGTTCTGACTCATAGCAACCCTGTATAGAGTTTCCAAGGAGTGGCTGGTGGGTTTGAACCACCAACGTTTTGGTTAGCAGTTTGAACCACCAACGTTTGGAGTGGCTGGTGGGTTTGAACCACCAACGTTTTGGTTATGCTGATCTTACAGGAACATACCAGGACTCCCTTATGTGGAAATGGTAACTACTGACTAGATAATACTGAGGGGATGCCAACCATATGACAATAACAAACAACCATATGCAAAACAGGTATAGTACTTTTTTTTGTGTGTGTGTGTGAACCACTAAGAAACTGGAAGGAAGAGCTGGCTGTATTCTTTGGTACCAAACATCTAATGAATTTTAGAGACATTTGAATGACCTTTTAATGTGGCTGTCCTGAGCTCTGAAAGAAACAAAGAGTGACCAAATTAACTATGCTCTGAGAAACCCCTGTTTGAAGGTATATTAGATATGAACAACAATAAGTGAAAATTGTACAATTTATGATTCATCATTAATCCCATTCTTTTTATTCATAACAAATGGACTAACATCCCTCCCCCTGAAAATTACTACATGTAGTAGATTGCAAACCCAATGAGAGAAAACAGCAACACTCCATTAATATTTATAAATGTAACATTGCTCCTATTTCCCATCTATTTGGAAAATCAGCTCAAGTAATTAAGGAGTATGGGGAATTATAAAGATGAAAAATATCAGGAAAACAGGATGCATGGAAGTTATCAACACTATTTTACTTCTATTGTTACATCTTAATGACTTAATTTTCCATGCATGGCATTTTAAAAATGTAAAAACAAAACAAGCAAAATTTCATTACTATCCAAACTACACAGATATTTTTAAAATAGCAAACTTACATCTTTGGATTCTCCACAAGGTATCGAAAATGTTTACTTCCAATGATTTTCACCACCATCTCAGGCATTGCATCTGATCCACAGGGAGTCTTCCAAACTGAAGACATGATTCTTCACAAAAATCTTCCAAATCCTTGGTGATGGAAAATAAATAAGACTATTTCTCTTGTTTTTTTCATGAGAAATGCCAATATCAAGAATACCATCTATGTCAATAACAGCAACAACAATAATAGTACCAGGAACAAGCACTTTACAAATACTATCTTACTTAACATTTTCAATTGGGGCATGTGGGGGAGTACTTTTACATACTATTATCATTCTTGTTTTACAGAGAAAGGTCAAACAAAATGTCATAGAGCCAGTAATTAGCAGGATTGGGAATTATACCCAAGATGTCTGCAAAGCGAATTTACTAAGTTAGGTTATCCTTCCTTCCTGTACTAAGGAGCTCTGGTAGCATAGTGGTTTCCAGATGGGCTACTAACCTCAAGGTCAGCAGTTTGAAGCTATCAGCTGTTCCCTAGGATAAAGATGAGGATTTCTGCTCTCATAAAGATTTACAGCCTCAGAAACCCTAAGCAGGGTCACTATAAGTCAGAACTGACTCCAAGGCACACCTTCCTGTACAAGATACCAGATAGGATGCTGTGAGGTCAGAAAAGAACCCAGGACTTTAACGAACAATCTATATCCAGCTCTTATCTTCCATTTGGTTCACCATTTAAGAAATCAAGATATTCCAGTTCTGTTTTCAAGCATTAAGGGTGAATCCAATGAGACCATGTGCGGAAAGGAGTGATGTATATTGCAAAATGGGATTATTTTTGCTATCCCTCCTCTGTTTCTGCAACAATCCAGTGAATCGGATATCAAGATCCTAGGAGGTAAGCAATGGGTGTTTGAACAGGTCTGACGTCAAGGGAAATGTAGAAGTTCTGTAAACTCCTTCACAGTTGACCATGTCTTTTCAGAGTCTCTCAAAAATTAAAATTCTTTAGAAATTATTCTAATCCAAACTCTCACTTTACAGATGGGGAAAGCTAGGCTCAGAGATGGTATGCTATTTGACCAAGGTCACAGAAAGAGAGAAACAGATACTTCTAGTACTCTGGTCTGATAGCCAATTCCCCAATTTCCATTTAGTGCATGTGAATGACTCTGCTAGGGTAACTTTATCCAAGGGAACTTGTAAACTCTTTGAAGCTTACTGGAAATTTTTTGTTGTCAAGTCTTCCTCACTGCCCAGCAAATTCCTGTCAGCCCTAGACCCATCCAGGGAGAAAACAGTGAGTGTAGCCTTACCGCTAAGATTCAGAGGTGTGCAGTCTGCTCTTCTCCCAGGGAACTCAACACAACAAGGCTTGAGGGGATGGGGCAGAGGGAAGCGATTGGAAGCCCGGTATCCGGCCAATCACAGAGCCCCACTCTCAGGAGGCTTTTCGCCTGTCAGGTCGTTAAGGACGCAGGGGCTGTTGCTAGGCGGACCCAGGTTACATTCCACCTCAGGGAGGCAGGCGGGGCTTCCTGTCCCTACACACCAAGGGCATATCTGGTTGTTGTCAAATTTATACTCTTGCGGCGCTTCCTCCAGGAGTTGGGAACATCTTTCTTGAAGCACATCTTGCTCACCTGGGTGGTCATGCTTGCCCTTTTCTTCCTCTTAAGCGTCATTTCCCCTAGTAACATTCCCACATGAACTATCTTTATAAATGTATGCTTTTGCAGTATGTGATTTGGGGCAAAATCATTCAGATTCGGTTTCCTAATCCGTAAAATAAAGAAAAATAGCACAGGCTTAAAAATGAGTTTGTGACAGACTCAAATATGAATGTTATAGTAATTAGAACTACTTATGAGTGCCACCCATATATTAGATTTTTTAAAGATGTGACCTTATTTCAACCAAATTAAAACTACCACAAACTAATTTTAATATTATTTATTATCATTATCATTGTAAAGATGGAAAAAAGGAGAGTTGGAGTATTGAAAAAATCTCCCCTGATTTTACAGAAGCAAGTGACAAAGCCAAGATTTGAATGTTCAGCTTCATATCCCAAATTCCCAGGTACTATTCCTAGGCACTTATTCCTGGTGCGTAGTCCTGGTGTGACGCTGTAGGCGAATGCGTCAGACTGCAAAGTCGTTGGTGGTTCAAGCTCACCAGCTACTCCTCAGAAACCCTATACAGGATCGGTATGGGTCCGAATCATCGACTCAATGGCACTTAACAACTACAACAACAACATTCCTACTGTAGAGTCCTGATGTGGTGCTGTGGTTAATGTGCTGGACTACAAAGTCTGTTAGAACCACAAGGTCGGTGGTTCAAGCTCACCAACCTTTCCTCGGAAACCCTATACAGGGTCGCTATGGGTTGGGAACCGACCTTTGGCACTCAACAACAACAGCATTCCTGGTGTGGCACTGTGGGATAATGCGCTGGAGTGCAAGGTGGGTTTGAATGCAAGGTTGGTGGTTTAAACTCACCAGCTGCTCCTAGGAAACCCTATACTGTGTCACTGTGAGGCAGATGACAATGGGAAGTTGAAGTGGAAAGAGAAAAAGTATAAAAATATGAGTTTAAGGGTAAGAAAGAGAGTAAAGAAAGGTATGGTTACTGAGAATACTTGCTCATTTTCAAACTGGGGAAGGATCGAGTTGAAAAGAAGATTTTAAAAATGAAAAAGAGGGATCTAGTACAAGATCCCCATGCTAGGGGAAGAAATGGAATCGTAAGCCACATAAATCTTTCATTTTCTTAAAAAAAAAAAACCAAACAAAACAATCCTGTATGATTGCAGTGCAGTATCTGTTTTGTTCAGAAATATCTACTTCTTGGAAATAATTTAAGAAGTTTACAACAACATTTATTAAGCTAAAGGACTTTAGTAAATGTGGTTGTTGTTGTTCAGTGCCTTCAAGATGGTTCTGACTCATAGCAACCCTGCACAAGACTTCCAAAGAGCAACTGTTGGGTTTGAACTGCAAAACAGTCCAGTGTGTATACTACAGCGTCATACTACATTAAATTGCTTCCAAAAAGGAAAAAAAAAAAAAAAAATCCCATCATCATTAGTAGTAGCAGCAACAGCATTTGTAACCCCAGCACCCATACCTGCTGACTCCTGCCCTCTAACATTGGAGGGTAGTATACCATCTAATGGAATATGTATCCAGAGATAGGGCAATCACTCAGCCGGCTACCCTCCAAGGACTCCATCTCTAGTGGGTGAAACACTTGTGCACGTTTAAAATTTATAAAGTGCCATGAGAGTGGACACAGAGGTTTAAATTGTAGTCTGCTAGTGTGAAAATCAGAACATGGAATGAAGGAAGTATGAATCTAGGAAAATTGGAAGTTGTCAGAAAAGAAATGTAAAGCATAAACATCGATATTTTAGGCATTATGGAGCCGAAATGCACTAGTATTGGCCCATTTGAATCTGACAACCACGTGGTTAACGATGCTGGAAATGACAAATTGAAGAGGTATGGTATTGCATTCATTGTCAAAAAGAACATATCCAGATCAGTCATGAGGTACAACACTGTCTGTGATAGGATAATATCCATGCGCCTACAGGGAAGCCCAGTTAATACCACTATTATTCAAATTTATGCACCAACCACTAAAGCCAATGAAGATGAAATAGAAGAACTCTACCAACTTCTTCAATCTGAAATTGATCAAACATGCAATCAAGATGTATTGATCATTACTGGTGATTGGAATGCAAAGGTTGGGAGCAACGATAAAGGATCAGCATTTGGAAAATATGGCCTTGGTGATAGAAATGATGCTGGAGATCACATGATTGAATTCTGCAAAATGAATGATTTGTTCATTTCAAATATCTTCTTTAGACAGCATAAGAGACGACTATACACATAGACTTCACCAGATGGAATATATAGAAATCAAATTGACTACATCTGTGAAAAGAGATGATGGAAAAGCTCCATATCATCAGTAAAAAAAAGCCAGGGACACACTGTGGAAAAGACCATCAATTACTTATATGCAAATATGAAGCTGAAGAAAATGAAAACTAGTCAACGAGAGCCAAAATATGACCTTGAATATATCCCACCTGAATTTAGAGATCATCTGAAGAACAGATTTGATACATTAAACACTAAAGACGAAGACCAGAA